CGATATCCCATATATCCATTATCGCGATTATAACGATTATAATGCTTATATGCAATATAAGCATTATAATCATTATCAGCATTATAGTCCCAGTATAGTAAGAGATCTTCATAGTCGGGAGGGCGTGACTTGAGGTCGTACGGCGAAGATCCTATGACGAAGTCGGCCATCCGTGGATCACGTGTTCCGGGTCTAACAATATGTAAATAAAAAATGATATAAATGTGTCCGAATTAGCCTGATCGAAGAATGTCAAAGGTCGATTTTCCTAACAAAGATCCCATATATCATTTTATACGAACTAATCAATATCTTTTTTATTTAAAGTGTTGTTTATATAAAGCAAGAATTTTATAAACAGTACTTCAACAACGAAAAGATTAAATGGACACGTATGAGTACCTGGTCACGAACTTTATGCTCAGAACAAAATCAAATCAATACCAATCATAAGCCCATATTTATAAATCATCTCTTTAATGAAGATAACTGCCATGGAATAATTAATCTTGCACCTAATTATTTTCAGTTCAGGGTTTTGAATAAAAAAGATTCATTTTGTGAAAACGAGACAGAAATTTCATATTTTCGTATTCCCCCCTAAAACGAGTTTAAGAATAAGTAAACCTGTTATATAATAAAATTTTTATAAATATATATTTGCATTCAACCACATTTCATTAAGTGAGATTCTTATCAGTTACTTACTAACTTTAATTTTTAAAAAAATTTACCACGATCACGGTTCGAATTAGTAATATCTTTTTGGAATGAATTTCGAATTTAAAAAGTTATTTTTTATCAAAATATAAGATATCAAAGCAATGCTTTTATTTTAGCCATTTATATAGTATTTTTTTGTTCATACATTTTAAAAACTGCAAAATAAACAAACAAATAAATAAATAAATAAAAAATTGTTTATTATTCCCTTCAATTATGATATTTTTTAAATAAAACCAGCATTAACTATTGTTTTAAAACCCCGTTCTATTTGCATTATAAAATTTAACATCGAACTTTTGTAAGCTTTAGATGTTGAGAATTGCATCAATATGGTCTTTTAAATCCATATTATCAATTATAAATTTATTTATTTATATAAACTTCTATAATTACTGAAAAATTTTTCCAATGGAGACAAGCACGGGGAAAGTTTTATTTCTACCTCTTAAGCTCAAAGTTCATGGAATGAGGCTGATAAATCAAATTATCCACATGTTGTTCTCTTTTCTATTCATTGTAATAACATAAAGTACTATAATTTCTGATCTCATTTACATAATTGAGCAGGCCCTTTATAAATATGTTGAAAAAAATAACGAAATAAACTTTCCGAATTAGTTTTTTTTTATTAGAATAGAGATTGGATCTGGTTATCAGTTGGATACAAATTTAATAGTAAAATCTGTCGGATATCCGTTAAATTTAATATGAAAACGGATGCCGAATCCGAGCTCTATATTAGAAGTATTTCTAGGTGCCTTATTAAAGCAAATAAATTGTTGATTTTGATTTTTAGGGTTACGTAATTAGATAACATATAAATAAAAGCAAATAAAAGACATTTAACTACTAATAAAATAAAATCCAAATTTAAATTTCGTTCTTATGCACAATATGTATTTTTCTGGTATCTTAAACATAAAAGTCGGATCAATATTTATCTTATTCAGTATCTGTTTTAGATGTTTTGAGCTTCTTCAAAGAAGTTATATATTCAGATGTAGGTTTGGAAGCAAAGTGTAATGGATTAGGTTTATAAAACTGTGTGAATGGAATTGCACGTGGTAATGAAATATTATTGAGGGTTGAAAGTTGTTCTGGAGTAAGTCTAATTTAAATTATAAATTAAAATTAATAAAATATTAACGACATTGATAATATACAAATTATGAAATAAAATATAAAGTTCAATGAATCCTATAATATTAAGCATACTTGAACCCTAAAGCATTTATGTTCTCCTCCAGAATTTCCAAGTTCCTTGCAGCTGCCACTACAGAAGTGATTCCTGGCTGTTGAAGAGTCCAGTTGATCGCGATCTATAAATTTGATAAAAGGCATTACATAAATGACAAAAAAATTTGATTCATAAATGTCATAAATATAAATTACTTCAGAGGGTGTTCTTCCAGCCTCTTCAGCAATTCGAACAACTTCCTCAAGGATCTTCCAATTTTGCTCATTTTCAGCGTACTCAGAAACGACCTTTTTGGCAGGAAAGTCGCTATCAGAAGCAAGAGATTCTTTAGTGTATCGGTTAGATAAGAATCTATGTTTTAAAGTGAATATGAATAAAAAATTTCAAACATAGTTTTTAATGAGTTAATAGAAGAAAACTACAGAGAAATTGTTCATGAATAATATAAAAAGATTATAACCCAGAAGCAATGGTATTATACGAGACAACGCCGATCTATTTTATACATATATAAAGAACGTCATTATAATATTATCTGATTATACGAATTTATACGAATTGCATTAAAACAAGCATAAACTAACATTATGCTTCAAACACATAGGTTGCAAATCGAACTCAAATGAACGATCGATCAAGTTATATTGTGTTGATAATGCGATAAATTGACTATTTGAATTGAAAAGTAAAAATAATTAATTTATATATCAAGTACAGTACATTGAACGTATTCTATTTACCTCCACCCACGAAGGTTTGATATTGCGTTTGCCTCGCTCGTGATCCATGCTGGCGTATTAATTATTGCAATGTATAGTGCCTTTTTTGATTTGTATTATTTCATATGTATATGATGTAATATTATATAAACTGTGACTAAAAATAAGATATGTCATATTTAAGCGTGTACTTGCAAACGTATGTATGTACCTTGCCACTTCGAACTACATCATCTAATCCCCTTAACACGTCTTCGATTTTATCATTGTAATCAATGTGTGTGTACAAAATGTCGACATACTCAACTCCCAACCGTTCCAGACTAGCATTCAGATTTTCAACCAGACTTTTCCTGTTCGCACTGCCTTATAATTTTTTAAGAAATAGAGATGTGAATTCGTAGAAAGAAATGATGTCTATTATACTCTATTTAATTTTCTTGCTAACCTAAATTAGGTTCCTTTGGGTTTTGGACTTTTGGATGAGCTATTAACATTGAACAGAAGTTGTAGTATTATTTAATAAGTGAAGAATTCGTATAAAGTATAAGGGTAGTTAAATTAAAACTCACTTGAATATTTTGTGGAAATTATGACTTTTGATCGTTTACCAGCTATAAATTTGCCTAACATGCTTTCATTCTAAATACATCAATAATGATATGTAAGTTATTTAAAAATTTATAGTAAATTCTAAAAAAAAATTAATTTCGTAACTGACTTCACCATCTCCAAAATTTGAAGCATCTGAAAATGTGTTAAAATTATTTATTGTCCTCAAAATTTTTAATTGTAATTTAACGCTTCAAAATTCAAAATCAGGTTATAACCATTGTATATATTTTATTCAGTACTTACCAAAGAAATTTCCGCCAAGCTCATAATACTTATCAAATACTTGTTTAGACACTATCTCATCCTTATCGAAAAATAAATTTATGTTTTATGATTTGAATATATTTAATAAATTCAGTCATCATATTCACAGCTTACTTGTTGTCCGAATGTCTAATATAATTGAACAAAATAATTAATAATCAATTTAAATTTTGAAACAACTAAAGATATAGGTGCAATAAAAAATGATCAAATCAACAAAAAATAAGGTTTTTGGAAAATTATTTTTTATACTACATTAAATCATGAGAAAATACAAAATTTAAAAGTTATTCTATAACATTTTACCAATACATCATTTATTCTTTAAGTGAAAACCGGGTCAGAATTAATTTTTGATTCATAAAGTTTTTGAAAAAAATCGTTGATTTGGTCCCTTTTTCTAATACCTATCCATATGTATTTTCTATAGTATTCAAAATAATATTATTTTGATTTTGGATAGTGTATTTTATCATTCAATGTCTTAGATATAAATAACGATAACCTTTTCTTTAATTAATGATATCAAAAGTAACATCTCATAATGCAGTCAGACCTCTCTAAGCGCACGCGTACACTTAGAGAATAATAAGAAAAAATGCATTTATATAGGTCAAGTATATATTTGGGCCGGAATTTAAGTGTGCACTTAGAAAGGACTGACTGTACCTAACATTGTTGAATATTTCAAACATCATAATTAACAAACAAGAAAAACATTCTCAACGGTTGATTGAAGATAAAATCAACAGATAAGGACAAATAATTAAGATATTCGTAATGTATAATTTACCATCGTTCCAAGACATAGTGGAGAAACTTTTAGACCACTCGAACCTAGTGAAACGTAATTATCGATTTTTGTTAAAACCTCTTGGGTCTGAGAAGTATCAGTCGTCATACTTTGCGAATGTAATTTTATATATAAATAAGGTTTGCTCAAATTTTTAGTAATATTTTTAGTAATATTAAACAAAAGGCTCATTATATAACTATAACATTGACTTTTTGTTGGTCAGCTAAAATGGAGCAAGGTTTATTGATGCAGTTAAATGTTTGTGGGTTATATAGATATCAAGCAGTATGTAGATCGGTTACACCTCACTTACCGGCACTCAATTCACCGATATTTTTGTTTCTCCGACACTTATTTCACATTCCACCGACAGCTTTTTTCCCCGATACACATTCTCTGACATGGTTTTTTTTTTATAAATTAACCCTAATTCTAATCTAACCCTAACAACAATGACCAGAATTATTTGTCGGTAAAATGAGCTTAGGGAAATAGGCTGCCGGTGAAATGAACTTGTCGGTGAAAATAAATGTCGGCGAGACAAAGATGTCGGTGAAGTGAGCTGCGCCGGTGTAGATTATTTATTGAATTCGCTCCGCTTTAGTTGATCCTTTTTTGATTGCGCTAAAGCTGATCTCCTACCGCTACGTAGTACTGATTAACCTAGATGTGTAGGGATGTTAAATCCATAGGAAGACTTTCGTATGATTGGCTGTTTAAATTAAATTAATTTTACATTATTTATACAGTTTAAAGTATTTCTTTAGAAAAAATAAACTGCGAAGAATAAACAAAAAAGAAGTATATAGAATGTTTTATTAGGATTGTAGGATTCCACTATTAAAAATAATCAAAATCACCTTTTGTTTAGGAATGTTAGTAATAATAATATTCTGATCCGCTGGGAATTAGCGGAAACGAAGTTTCCGCTTATTCACATACGGTGTGGGACCCGAATGGACCCTGGCCGTTCGGGTGGGATATTACTTACAGCTATTTTCATAATTTCTGGAACCCCTGATAAAAATTGACCGAATGATGTTACAGCCGATTCGATTATGTTTGTGATTTCAGCATGATCCGTATAATAAAAGCCATATTTATGTATCATGATCGTTTTAAAGATCATTATAACAATAATGTCAACATTATTAAATTTTCGTTCGAATGCTTGTCCAATATGTTTGATATGTTTAGTTTGCACGAAAATTTATGGAAAAGACTGCTCTTGTCAACCAATAAACCTTAGCAAAAAACATAAAAAAGGATCCGGATATAAGTTAGACTTTTACAACAAATCTATCACACGAATAGGCGTCAATATTAAAAAAGTTAAATATGATCATGAATTTGTCGAATGGTTTAACAATGAATCTCGAGTTAAGATTTCAAATGAACAAAATTTTATTAATATTTGTCAAGAATGTATGAAGGATTATGATAAATGAAATAAAAGTAAAAAATTTATTTATTTATATTATCTTTGTAGCATTAAATATTTTACTTTATACTAATAATTAAAATTAGTTCAAAGAAAGGATCAAAACAAAGTAGATGAAAGTAATGAAAGTATCGAGACAGTGGATTTAACAATCAAAGACCTTTTAGATTGTTTATCTGAAGCAGATAGTTTAGATTTGCCTGATTTATCTGAAATAACAGCAATTGGTAGCATGAAAGAACCTGAATTAGAAATTAGTAACAGTAATATCAATATAAAAAAAACAAGCATTAATAATAGTAATATGAAGAATCTGAACCAGGAATTAGTAATACGAATGATTCTAAATTAGGAATAATTAATGTAATGGTAAAGGAGCCTAACACTGGTAAGATATGATTTTCAAATTATTTATTCAATATATTTTTAAAATTAACCAATGCTAATTAATATTTTTAATATTTGTATTTATTACATTAGTATGCTATGATTGGTTTGAAAAACCATATAGAAAACTGGATGGGGCATTGGCAATTCCATATGATCTTAATAGCATCAAGAATTTCAGAAATATTGAAGAAGAAATTTTATCATGTGTTCTTCTTGAGCATTGGGGAAAAATTGAATTAGGCCATATTTGTTATCAAATTTCAAATATGTCTAAGGCTGTTCATTATGATCTAAAAGTTAATAGAGCAATTATAGTATTTGTAGCAGAAATTAAATATAAAAAAAATATTTAACTATATATCTTTCAAGAAAGTAATGAATTTAACTGAGCAAATAAAAGGATTTGTGTAAGTTTATATACAATATTTATTAAAATATAATAATTTTTATTTATTTGTTTGTTTATTTATTATTAGACACTTAAAATGGAATCAGATACAATTAATATATTAAACATTATTAAGAAAAGAATTTATGAAAATCTTCCAAGTTACGAGATACATATTTAAGACTATTTAATTTCTGAAGATGGCCAACATTTAAAATTGGATGGTGATATCATTACATTATGGGTTTATGTGATTGTAATAAGTTTAATAATTAATTATATTATTATATATTATAATATACTGAATATATATTTATAAAAATTTTTTAAGTTCACTAAAATGCCAGACATTGATCAAAAAACTTTACCAAATATTTCATCCTTTGATAAAACCAAATATCAATATCCAATATCTAAACAGTCATTAAATAATAATAATACTATATTAAATAAAGGTTATTATATTTTTAATTTAGATTTAATTTTAGCTTTTTTTCTATTAACCAATTCTACTTTATAATTTTTTATAGCTAATTCTTTATCCATATTTATAAATTATTCAATTTCGATATTTTATATTAATTCTATTTCAACAATTATCTCAATACTTCATTTTGTAACAATTCATACCAAAAAAAAAATATCATTTAAATTAAATATTCATATTACTTAAGATATAATTTTTCAAAGTCTACTTGATTATGTATTCTCTAAAGGTCCACCAACTGGAAAATAATTTGTTATTAAATTATTATTAGAACTTGATGGTAAAAATTATTTATCTGAGCAAGTTATAAATAAACTATTTGTAAATAAACATACTAATATTTGGATAGATATAGAGGATATTGATATAAATTTTAACGAATTATTTGATTAATTATTATGTATAGTATTTTATATTATATCTTAACAATACAAAAAATTTCTTATATAAAAATTATAATTTTTGTATTATATTTAAATTAATTGTATATATATAAAAATGCAGACATTTAACAAATATGCTTAAATAGTACATTGTGTTTAATAATAAATATTTTTACAATAAAGTCATGAATAAATATTACTATACTATTGTATATATCCTGAATTCTGATAGCATGCACATGCTAATTGTTTGCCAATTATTATAAAAACCAGATCTAAAACATCGAAGAGATCTTCAACTAATTCTGTCCAAATATTATTTTGATGCAAATAATTTTTTATATAAAAAAAAGCTTATTCGATCTATAAAAAATATGTATAATAAAATAAATTTATAACATTATTATACATTATATTATTATATATATTTATTGGATTAAAATCTGATGAATAGGCTGTTAAAAATCTAATCGAATACTATTTTCTTCACAAAGATCTCACAAATATTGACTCTTATGTATAGATGCATTATCTAAAACTAATATATTGTTTTGTTCAGAAAATGGATTCATTTTTGGTAACTATAAATTTATCAAAATATATTTAATTAATAATATTTATATATATATATATTTTAATAAAAGAATTCTTACTAAAACATGTTCAATAAAATTTTCATAATCATTAGAATTTATAGAACTCTTTTGAATACAATATGCTAAAAGACCATTAATACATAGTGCACCTTCTATAGTAAAATGTCTTTCTCAAACAAAAATTATATATTTTTGAGTATGCAATCCTGAAAAATTCCAGTCATAATGACATGACAATGTTCTTTTATCATAAGCAGTTTCATCTAAAAAAATCAACTGACTTGGTATATACTGAGACATTTATAAAATAAAATTGTTTCTATCAACTTCATTTCTTTTTTTAGCAAGTTTTAAAATCTATAGAATTAAAATGTTAATAAATTTATAAAAAAAAATATATCTATAAATATACAAAACATTACTTTTTTATATATATATCCAAATTGATGTATGACTCTCTAAATTGTTGTAAGACTTATGTTATGTCACAGCCAAAGTTCTATCTTGGATTGTAATTCATACAAATACCAGTCTGGTTTTTTCTTCATTAAAGCTTTAGGATATTTTATATTATTTGTGTTTAATAAACATGGTTTTCCTGAAAATGACAAAAGTTTTTCAATGCATCCATATTTTTGATATTAACACTTAAGTGTTTAGCAATTATTCAATATGTAGACCTTCTAAATTTTTTCAATAATTTTCCAACGAAGCTGTGTTGAAAGTATCATATTTTGAATTCAACCAAAAATCCAATATTCGTATAATCTTTATATTAATCACCTGATTTTAAATTACATAGATATATTAATTTTATTAAATATATTATGCCAAAATCACAAACATAATCAAATCGGCTGTAACATCATTCAGTCAATTTTTATCAGGTGTTCCAGAAATTATGAAAATAGCTGTAATTAGGGAAGGAGTCGATCGCATCCATGCATCCATTGTATCCGTCGCATGCGACCGATCAGTCACATGTGACGCATACGTCGAATGTAGCAGATAGCAGCGATCAAGTGGAAGGGAAATATCAGTAGGATATGACTGATTAATAGTATCAGTGATATCAGTCGTATCCATCGCATAATGTACATAGACGATTTTAATTATAAATAAAGGCCGAACAGGCCCTTTGGGAAGGATAACTCCCCCCTGGACAACAAAATATATATAACACCTATAATACATGATTACCCATAATAAAACTACTGCTAAAACACTACTACACGAATAACTTTATTAA